ATTTCAAAGAGGTAAGAGACAAACGTAAAGGTAGAACAAAGGTGAGGTGAGTACTGTGAAAATAGTCGAATATGGCATAGAGTGAGGCGATGGTAGTTTGAAGTGAGAAGTCAACTGCCAGCCAATAGACTTTTTTGCCGTATAAATATACGTTGCCCAGGGTGCACCACGTGGAGGTAAGTCTATCGCACACCCCCCTTTCGAAAAATAAACACTGCTTAATCGTCCACGAAGCCAGGGTGATGTCTGTTTCAACGACTCGCCCGCACCCGTCACTTCTAGACGAGGTTATTGATTTTTAATTTCAACAATTGACGCGATTTGCATTATATTATTCATATCATCACGTGCAGCCTCTCCTGAGTGACTCATACAAATGGGCTTTGTATTCAATTAATCTACACATTCAGTCCACCCCTCCCCTCCCCCGCACTCAGCGTTATACCTCTTGGAACACCACTTTGTTAGCGTTAGCTGCCAGCTTTAGTCAAGACCTTTCTAGGGCCTTAGTTACTATAATTTGGTAACGAACTAGTGACCGCAAGCAATCATCTCTTCTGATCAACAAAAGTATCTTTATTTCATAAGTCAGTAATTGTGCTAAATCAATCAAATTTACAAAAGCGCGATTTGTGACTAAGCATTAAAAGAGCGCTAGGAGGGAGGCGTCTAAAATTCAAGACAATAGACACTGAAAGAGAAATTACATGGAGTATCTAAAGAGAAAAATATACATAAGACAATGAAAATAAAGTAGCTAGCAGGCCTCTTCAAGCACCGGTAATCGAGAAGCATCTTGGCTACTTCCTACATCGGCATCTAAAGAAATTGCGCGATTTTGGAGATCTTTGTAGAGGTTATTAAGCGAGGCCTTTGCACCTCTCGATATCACATGTCTTGAGAGCCATCCCTAGACAAGACAGATATCAAAGTTTAGATATAATTGCTACTTAGTCATTAAAAGTAGAAAGAAAATGAAACATACTTTAATGTCGAAACAGGTGATGATTGTCAAATGGCAAAGATTGCCACTCGGCCGTAGAAAGAATGAATTGATCAGCTGATCGGCCCTAAATAAAGAAATTACATTTAAGCAAAATTTCAAACGGTTTGAAAGTAATGCTTTTCCACTTAACCGGTTAGGCTGGGCTCCACTGTTTTCACGTGGTAGAGTTGCTTCATGGTAAAGCTTTCTTTCTAGCACCTTTTTAAGCACTTTGTACTTTAACCGCATTCAAAAGTGCCTTTTGGGCGACTTGAATGTGAACCAGATTAAGCACTCACAGCCGACTCCCCCCCCCCCCCCCCCCCAGGAACAAATGCGTTGCCTGGGGGTTTTCAGTAAAGCTAAAATTAAACTTACCTTCCATTCTGGATAAAAAAGAGAGCGCATCTTTAAATTAAAGCTACGCGCGCCTCCGCCCATGGTCTACACACTCATTCACATCAATTATAAGCATACACACAAACAATGACGGAGTATGTTCATTGGTAGCGCTGAAACAGTAAACAATCTGAAACCAGAAAAAAATTCGAGTTTCCCCAACTGAATGTAGATTTTTAAGAACACAAATATGACTGGGATAGGAACTTAACTCAAACACACCTAGCCAAGCCAATCAACCCATACGCCTGACTTCCCCAAAGTGCATTAGGAATGACAGTGTTGTATGGGCTGCACTCATGCACCTTAAGTCACGTGTGCTGTCCTATGGGTTACTCCTTTTCTTCCTCTACTACACCAGGGAATGAATTCTTACCGAATGCAGTCATTCACAGGTGGACATTTCGGATGCGTCACAGAGGACGCTGTAACGTAGTAGACTTCATCGTTGACTCCCCAGGCTCGCATCATTACAAAGTCCCTAGAACATATACACCACGTAGTGATTAATGAGCTTATGTAGGAAGTGAAATGCAAATCCAACATCATTGAATTAAGAATCACCTGGGCTTGATCAAACCTCCAAGAGCTTCCTTCAGGGTAGTATGGACAATGTCGAGCTCTTCGTGGGGAAACTTTTGGAGAATCTGAAAGAAGAAAGACAGAGGGAATGAAAACAATAATAATCGATCAAAGTGGACGATTCAGTAAGAAAATTGGCAGATGCGCTGCATACTCTGGCAGAGGAAATTGAAGAATTCCAAATGGGCGAGAACTCGAACTCATATACGAGATCATCAAACATGGTCTTTGGTCGAGCGTGTAGTACTGCCTAAAAACCATAAGAGAGATTAGTAGCACATGCACACACACAAATGCGCAATTCTTTATCGTGTGGGGGGTAACTGAAAACGCTTAGAAAGCAAGTTGGAAACATGGCCAAAGGAGGACAATCAGAGATGTTCAGAGAGTAAAGAGCCACAGCCCGTGTTATTTTCGGACTCGAAGTAAAACCCTATTTACTTGATGCCGCTTCACTTTCCGAAATCATGACTTGGTTGCTTAGATTTGAATGACATCTTATTCTACGAAGCGTGGCACTTAGTGGCCGTCGCTCAATCCTGATATAGAGACGACGGTCTTACGTGGTAGTGAGCACACTAGGCAATCGTCTAAATGCTATCAGCGGCAGCTAACATATCAATTAACAGAACTCTCTAGGCTATTGGACTCATTGTGACCAATCTCTGAACGAAAGAGGTATTAGTTAATTACTTAACTCTTGACTTCATAGGGCAAACGATAGTGCCCACACAGAGCGAAAAAGTGTTCAACTTTCTAGTGAGATGGTATTGAGTCTACAACCATTACATATATTCAAAGCTGAAAAGTAGACTTATCGATTATTGGTGCTTCGTTAACGAGCCTATATTACTATGAGCTTAAATAAGTAGCCATTCAATCGTTATATCCTACTGGTTTACAAAGGGGCAACTTTCAAACGGGTTAGGGGTGGGGGTGGGTAGTTATAAGCCATAGAACATGGTAGATTCGACATAATTAAGTCGTTATCAACTCACATCCATTCGGAAAACGGTATGTTCACCAAAAGCGGTAAAATTCGCTGAGGTGATGTGAGGCCCAGTTAACATGGGCATTGAGGCTTCAGATTCATTCCACACCGTATCTTCGTAGATATTCCATGTCGTCTGACGCAGGTTCTCAGCTCTTGTCAACAGAGCCGCAACCTACAGGAAGTTAAGAAATAATGGAAAGATTAGCTGACAGGGTGAAATGCTAGCCCTCACTAATTTCCCTATGTTCACAATATGCACTGAGTCCTATTGTAGAAAGAAGTACAAGCAACCTTTTGTTAATGTAAACATGACCTAATGGCCTATAAGAGCATGTCTAAAGAGAGCGTTGAAAAGATCAGCTTCATTTGCTAATTAGAACATTATATTGAACTTTAGCCTTATAGGTAATTAAAAGCCAATGAAGTAATGATAAAGAAAAACCAAGGTGAATGTGCTTACGCAGTCCTTCGAAAGCCTTCTAAAGCAGAAATCCAATTTAGCCAAACGTATGTTTCACTACTCGGGGTGTGCGATAGACTTACCTCCACGTGGTGCACCCTGGGCAACGTATACCCATACGGCAAAAAGGACTATATACTGGCAATTGACTTCTGACCTCGAGCTACAATGGCCCCACTGTATGTCATATTCTACCACTTCCACAGTACTCACCTCTCTTTTTCCTCTGCCTTCGTGTCTGTCTATCTATCTCTTTTGGATCATTGAATGTCTCTTCTGCTCACCCTCTCGAATTTTTCTCAATTGGATGTTCCTCCCCTTTGTGAAGCCTGAAGTCAACTAAGGAGTTAATGATAACTATCAAAACGCCTGCCATTTGTTATAAATAAATGTTTCACTACTCGCTTGCTCAAACAAAAGTAGAATCGAACTGACTAGGGAGTACCACCACGTGTGACAACATGCCATTCTTGTCGTTCCCCATTCAATGACACTTCATTTTTCACAACTGTTTCCGGGTCTGTCATCAATGCTTATAAAGCTCAGTTCATCCGAATTCTTTTGAGTGTGGGGAAGTGTTAAGAATAGCTACAAATTTATCTCAGCAGTTTGTCTCCTAGCCTCCTCACCGAAATGCGTGCAAACACCAATGACCTAAGGATGACTCATACTAATTTGTGTGGAGTTTATGATGAGTTAATAGTGTCATGGGGGGGGGGGGGAGTAATTGAATATCAGCCTTTTCATTGTTATCGAGTGGTACCCACTGGGTAGGGCGGGAGGGGGGGATCACACGACAGAAAGTAGGCCCCTCCTAGCACCACAGTAGAACCGTACTTATACGAATGCATGGCTTAAAGATAAAGGGTCTTATGCGAAAACTTACATCCACCGTCGCATCATTGGCATTGAGGAGAGTATACTTCGGACTGGTTGTCGGGGACTCAGGGTATGACATGAGAGAGCCTGGGAAACAAGGAAGAAATAAAGAACACAAATGAATAGACCGCCTATAGGATAACCACCAAGGGTTGGTTCTAGAAATTGGCTTAAAGTAGCACCAACTTTAGACATAACTTAGCTAAAAAAATCAAGCGCTCTGCTTTCAGAGTGAATGCGCACCACAACGAACACAATGCATCTAAAGTGCATGTGAAATGTCATTTATAAAGTGTAAAGGTGACGCTTTACTTCGCAATGCATTTTTGGCCCCACAAAAAATACAAATTCAAAACAATGGCTCGATTTCGCCAAGAGCAGGAAACATTTAAAGGCTATAATGTATTACATTCTTCTCAAGTTAAACCCCACCACCACCCCTCCCCTCTTCTTATTAATTATCTCCAAGTCTTCAACACTGCAAAATTCCATCCTAGAACCTCAAACCCACCTGTAGAACCCTCGTGCGTACTCAGGTGGTTCACCAGTAAAGTGTGCAAAGTATGGCTTTCGGTGAAAAAAAATGTTGCATTAATTTTCTGTCTATGTATATTTCATTTAAAATGCGTAAACAAATGTGGCTGCTGTTGCTTTTTGGATTATGAGAGTAACTACGGCGCAGACTTGAACTACACTGGTGAATTCAAAAAGTGCGGAATCGACTCATAAATCCAAAATAAACTATGAACTTAATCGCTAGTTGAGATTAAGTCAGAAGAATATTGATTTTAGCAAGCATTTTAAGGTAACAAGTCAATTCTGCACTCACACCTGTGTTTTTCACTTTCGAATAAGTTAATTCCAACAATTTTTTTCCTTTAAAAATATTTCACACTGAGTCAATCAGATAATTAAAGGCGCCTCCGTGTCCTCAAGACCTACGAAGTTAGCACAAACATTGGAACTAAGATAGAACACTCGACGATGCCAACTCACTGGTTCAATTTAACCTGACTCACCGACCTGGCCAAACTTGAGTGTATTCAATTCGAGACTACGTGTACCTCTTTCTCTCTTCCAGTTCCCTAAACGCACGACACTACCCGCGCCCCTCCGTCCCCCCCCCCCCCCCCCCGCCGCCGCTTAATCGATTCACCAACTTGTGGATAAAAGAACTCCCCGATTCCTTCATAACCTTCAGATCCAAATGTGTCTACCGACGTTATTCATTATTGGGGAGAGAGAGAGAGAGAGAGAGGGGGGGGGCGTGCGATAGACTTACCTCCACGTAGTGCATCCTGGACAACGTATACTCATACGCCAAAAAAAGTCTATTAATTGACAGTTGACTTCTCACTTCAAACTACCACTGTATGTCATATTCAACCCCTTCCACACAACACTCATTTTACTTTTTCTCTGCCTTTGTGTCTATCTGTCCGTCCCTTTTGCACCTGTGAATCACTCTTCTGCCCCCCCCCCTCTCGACGTTTTTGTAACTTCAATGTCCTTCCCCACACTGCGAAGCCCGAGGTCAACTAAAGAGCTAATGATAACTCTATCATAAAACCTGCCATTTGATGTAAGTAAATAAATTTTATTCATTACTAAATATTTGAATCAAACGTACTCCTTCAAACACTATTACTTACACAGATCGCTATAGGGCAATTTAGGGGATAGGAAACGATTTAATGGGGACTCTTACCCTCAGGAGACCCATAAATGCTGGGAATACCACGCGCAGTTGCTGCCCGACCCACCCACTGTTGCACGGAGCCTAAATATGCCGACTGGGCGTCCACGGCGGAGAGGAAGTCCGGAGTAAATCGTTGAAACGTGTTCACAACTGTCACGCAAGTAAAGAGAACATACAAAAAAGCAGTTAATATTACTCATGAGGCGAGCAGCTATCGAATCCTGGCCATACAGCGGGGAATATTTCCATTTCTTTGGTCAAATAAATCGTCGGAATTAGCATAAAGACTCCCCCTACAATTTAATTCTAGCTTGCAAATAAACGCACCTACACACACACACACACCTAATAGACAAGTCAATGAGGGGGCAAAAAAAGGACCTTTCCACAACCAACCCGTCATTATTCAAAATGTCAAAGGTGGTGATGAGGAGGAGGAAGTTGTAGCGGGCTTACTTCGTTTGGCTCGCCTCTCCTGGGGTAGAACTCGACATTCCAGGATGAGAGTGCCAATCCAAGTCATTACAATGGGCAGAATTAAGTCCGTATAAGCCAGTGGATCACCCCTTTGTGAAGTCTGGTATGATAACAGAAAATAAGCTTACTACTACTACTAATAATAATAGCATTAAACAAAGGGAGGGGGGGGGGGTAGTTGACGAAGAGGAGAAAGGAGTTTGACCTACCGCGAAGACCATGCATTTGGCGAGCATGTACACTGTTGTGATAGCGGTCCATGACTACAATATTGAAATACACGCACATACATACAAGCTGACATTCATTCTAACACAAAAAAAGGAAAATACAAGCTACCAAGCACCTTGGGAGGTACTAGGACACGCGGAGTGAATCAATAGGTCAAACATGGGGGGGGGGCACAGTGTTCATTAGCTAGATCCGAGGATATGCTCAATTTTTAGGCTCCATGATGAGGCAGAGGGTTGGGAACAGTTCCCCCCTCCCCTCTCACAATGCAATATTAACAGTTGTCAAAGAATATTGAAAGAAAAAAACGTATATTCCCTATTAAGGGTGTGCGATAGACTTACCTCCACGTGGTGCACCCTGGGCAACGTATGCTCATACGGCTAAAAAAGTCTATTAACTGGCAGTTGACCTCTGACTTCAAACTACCATGACCCCATTGTATGTCATATTCGACCCCTTCCACAGTAATCATCTAGCCTTTTCTCTGCCTTTGTATCTGTCTCTTTTATATCTGTGAATCGCTCTTCTTTTCCCCCTATCGAATTTTTCTCACCCTAATTTTCCTGCCTTCTGTGAAGCCCGAAGTCAACTAAGTGGCTAATGGTAACTATCAAAATGCCTGCCATTTGAAATAAACATATTGCCTAGTAATGCGTTCAAAGCCAGAACTTGCATGGGATTGAGCAATAAGTCGAACTTTCGAAGGAATAATTTTCCGCTCTCAAAAATGCAACATCCCACCTTGGAATAAGGCGGGTTTTTAAAATGGTTGAAAACGAATGACGCTTCACTTCCTTTGGATTATACCACACTACATTAATAATTAAGAAAATATCGGCGTAAATATGCTTATTCGGCGACTAAGAGAATAGAAACTCATTCAAATAATCTATAATGATTCCGACTTTGGAGAAATTCTTCGCCCCAGAAATTTCGGGATGGTATTATTTTTATACCACTTGTCACACGGAAGCAACAAGGGTTTGTGACTACACGGAATTGAGAGAGAGAGAGAGAGAAAGAGAGAGAGCTTAATCCCCATCTCCGATGCTAAATGTCTAAAGGAGAACTACCACGAGCCTTCCAGGGATTTATTTATAGTGGATGTGCTCAAGGCACCGTTGCAAATCTTTAGTGAATGCTGCTATGATTTACCCACCCCCCCCCCACACCACTCTCTGACAGGAATAAATAGTCGTCATTGCTTATTTAAACTCAATATATCTTTACTGTAAACCCACACGTAAATAGCTCCAACCACATCCACCAACCGCACACACTAGCATCTCAGAATATTCTAGCAATCTCATTGGTCTGCTCTTTCTTGCCTTCATTAAGAACGTCACTACCAAACCTGCTAGTTGTAGTGAGGATTGGTAGAAGTTAGAACAAGCAATTAGTAATCACTCTAAACATCTGGTCAAGATTAGCGCTGGACTACGATACTGACTCATTAAGAAAGTAAGTAATAATAAAAATTGTCTTTTAAAAATTGGAATACTTACCGCTGAAGGCCAACGCCGACTTGTACGAAAAGCACCATAGGCCACTTCAAGAAAGCTGAACCGACAAACAGAAATGATCTATTCAAAAAAAACGAGAGGACCAATAAGAAGAGAAGATTCACTTTAAAGCATTCCAATTGGCTTCAAGTCGAGGTACACTATTGACATAGAATACAAACCAGATAAATGACAAAGTCATCCAATTAGATTGAAGTATAGTGCGTCTGACCTTGGAAGACTCAATTTTAAAGATAAACACTCAGCAAAAATGCAGAACTGATTTTTACTATGCCACCCACTGAGTTAATATGCAGTTACGTAGTCGATGGGGTTTGCAAATTAATCTTTAATACATTTCACAAATACTACACTTTGGCCGAAGTGTAACAGATGTATAAGTTACCATTTCCAGTGAGTGCTTGCTCAAAAGCGTTCCACTCATTTTCTCTTTCACTAAAACCACATTAAGGAAAGTTCAAAAGATGAGACATTAGGCCTTTAAGAAGGGAAGGGAAATAGATTCCAAGAGGTCACAATGATGTACTTATCTTCAGGGCAGGGTGGCAGAAATATTAGCTTAGCTTGATCCCAACGTGTCTGGTGGCTGACAGTTCTTCAGTTTCTCATTCGCTTCATGTTCCCAGACCCTTCAAAGCGCCTTTATCAGTCCAGATGCCTAATAAGCACATCTTTAGGAAATTAAGAAGGGTTTAAAAGGAGTTGAGTCGGCATTTATACCTCTAACACCCTTGAGATTGTACGATCCTCTTTTAAAAAAGCCCATTGGTACTAGACTCGTACCAGAAGTGCTATTGGCGTTTGAAGCATGTTCAATGCGTGCCTATAGTCTTCGTCTGATACCATCAAAACTCATCATGACTTGATATGGGAGCTAAAACACACTGATATCATATTAGAAACAGAGCGCATAACAAAATTGTGACAGAAATAACACACCAAACGCCTAAGTTGAAGAGTCCAAGGTCGAAATTCAACGACACTAAAGTAACAAGTTAACGGAAAGTGTTCTGCTAATGTAAGTCAAACAAGCATACTCGTCAGCCAATACGGACCAAAGATTTTTACACATCTTCACACCCCACCATGCAGTGAAGGAGAGTAGTGGTCATTGCGATAGGACAGATGCCTCTTCTTGACCGATCCTTTCGCCATTCACATTCTTATTGATCTTCATGCCTTTCCATTATAAATATTGTCTCATCCACAAGATGACCCTAGTTACATCACTCTTCCTACAGAATTTTACAGTTCTTAGCAAATTCCTCCAATCAAGGACATGTCTAATTATCTCTTGAGTAAAAAACATACCCCCCCCCCCCCCCCCCCCCCCCACCCTACCCAAATTAATATTAACTATGAACGAACAGCTTATTGATTTAAAGGGGAGCAGGTTAGATAGGCTATTAAAAATTCAGTCGCAAATTGAAGAATAAAAAAGAAACATACTTGAACATCAAATAGAGTTGTGTTGAACTGCATGTGGATAACTTGATCAGCCATAGCTTTGGAAAAATCTCCAAGAGTCTACAATAACAAGGAAGTAAGGAATTAACAAATAAACAGGTAGCAAATAAATGTAATTTTTAGTTAAAAGTACTCATTAAGCAGCATTACAAGTAGAAAAAGAAAAATTGGAGTGAGAGACATACCCGAATATACAATAGCCAGAAAGCAACGATAATAACAAATTCAAAGAGAATAAAAAGCAGAAAAGTCCGGCGAATAGGAGAGGTACGTTGTTCATCAGGCAACCCTTCAATAGCAGAGGAAGCTGCGACATTCAATCTACAAATAAATCAAATTTACGAAATACTAGAAAAGCATAAAAGCAGTGACCGACTGCAACCCAACCCACTTAAAATAAAGTGGGTTTCAAATGTGATAGATATTCGATAGCGCTCACAAATAGTCAAACCTGAAAATGGTGGCTCACAAAATGTGGTTAAACTAAACCAACTCCGTATTAGTGAGAATAAGACGAATAGACAAATATGTACAACGTACGTAATAAGTAAGCAAAGGAATAGAAAACTCACTCTGATGCTCCAAAAATTTGATCGCCATAAGAAAATCCCGGCAGTGGATCTAATAATATAAATCGTCGTAAGGATAAGAAATAAAAACTGGTTCATGACAACAAAATCTATATACAAATTCACAGCAATATTACTTAAGCTTAAAAAAGAAAACTGTTATGTAAAAGCGCATATAAAAGTAAAGGTTGTCTTGCACTAAAAGCGAAAATATTCAGTATTTATCAAATATTGTAAAAAAATTACCTCTGCTCATCATCTGCAGAAATTCCTCAATTTCATTGGCTGCTAATAAAATCAAAGTAAGCGGAGGCTTTTTACTTCTTGTAACAATTAGATCAAGTTTGTTAGATATTTGCATGTACTTAGTAAAACGATTTCTAAAGCAAAGACTTGAATTTGAAATTTAAAATTTTTTGATTTTTGGTTTTATATTGAATCTTGACAATTATCGAGACAGATTGAGCCTTGCTATGATTTTAGCTACTTTGTAAATTAATAGGTAGACTTGATATTAATCATTTTATTAACTCATGCGCCATATCAAAATGATACAGTATTACTTTTATAAGCTTGAACTGTTTGGTTTTGTTGCAATACCCTAATTATTTTGCTCGTGTTATATCATTTGGTATCATTGGTTTACTCTTAACACACAGTGAGAGATATGACCGAAAGGCAGTAATCCGAAGACATTTTATTAGCTCAATATAAACCTCTGCATTATCGTTGATGAAGAGAAAAGTTCAATTGAACTTTTTATGTTACATCCCAGTTGATCCTAACACTGAGGGCAAACATATTAGTAAAGTTAATGAGTGACTAATAGCAATCTGAAGTCATTGCATGTCTGAAAACAAAACGGCGTTGGGCTTTAATTGATAGCTTCCTAACAGATTCATCAAGAAATATTAGATAACTTGATCACTATTGAAAATGCTTAACATTTTCTTTTTTTGTAATCGCTATTTTCATCAGAGTTCAGAGTCAGTATGCTACCTTGCCGACAAATTAACATATTTTAACAAAATTTCTGTAAATAATAACTTTTAAGATATGATGTAGATTTGTTTCCATTACAAAAATTGTATATGATATTTAATTTTCCCTTATCATGTGAATAATTTAAACTAAGTCATTTTCGCCTCTTAAAATTTTATTTTGACTTTTAGTAAAAAAATATATTGAGCTTCATTGAACACTATTTACGCCTTAGACACTGCAACATCTACGTTTGTCTATATCACGTTTCTTTCGCTCTGAGTGCAAATCTTTAAAGAATGGGTAAATAACAATTTTCACTAATGGCGAATGTGAACATCGATCGTTCTATTGCCAACCCTATTTATAGTCTTGAAGTTAGAATGAATTTATTGCAAGACTTTCGTACTCTTTTATATGAGGCACTAACCCTCACCCCCTCTCCGGGCCCCCTGTCGTCTTCTAAGTAAGTATAAGATAAATTTATTGCTGGGCACCAATCACATGGCTTCTGGGGAATGAGATACGGCTTTGGCTAGGAAGCCCATCAACCAGTACAGACTCACTTGTCATCCAGAAGACTAACAAGTGAGAACAGTGACTAGCGAGGCCCGATTTCTTGAATGGTATTATTCCTAATGTATCTTGGTTTCATCCTCGTATCCTCATATACCTATGTTACTGCAAACCTTTTCACTCCATTTCGTTTCTTTGAAGTCATTTTCACCTAAACGCCAATTCGGGCCACTTTTCACCGCCTTATAATACTAAAATTAAATTTACCCGCATATTTCCTCAAATACTGTCAACGTTAGTGAAATCTTCAAGTGCATAATTAGAAATCAGCATATGGAGGATATATACCTAATATGTGAGCCAATGGGGCTATACTGAATGAGTATTGTCTTATGTAAATCGTAACCTGGCACTTGACTCAGAGTTAAATCTCTATTAATTCTCATTTTTAACTAAGAGGGGGGGGGGGAGAGTATACCTGGGAGTTACACGTTAGAGAACCAGCTTTGGTGATGAGGAAGCTACTAGAATTTTCTTTCATTTAAATCTATTTTGGTCCTCAAACTGGTACTTTTGCGCTTACGTCATGTTGACACAAATCAATAATTAAACGACTAGTCATGGTAGAAAATGGCCTAATTAAATATGCAGTTGCGTAAGCTGAATATGAATAGATAATCATAGAATTGGTAATTCAATTAATTATTTGATGGTTAATTTCTATCTACATTGCTATTGATCAGAATAAGACCACCGGCTAATGAAATATGTTTGATTTCTTGTTATTCTCATAATTATTGTTTCACTACTAGTGTTTCCTTAAATTATTTCTACAATTACCCTTTAGTGTGATTTCAACTTGCAATTTGGCCAATATTTCTCAATAAACGCGAACTCCTAATGTGGAAAATTACAGTTAGTTCTATTGATTAGGGCAAACAAGAATTAAAATTCTTATTCAATAATTATTTATTTATTTATTTATTTATAACAAATGGCAGGCGTTTTGATAGTTATCATTAGCCCTTTGGTTGACTTCGGGCTTCATAGAGGAGAGGAGGAACATCAAAATGAGAAGAATTCGAGAGGAAGAACAGAAGAATGATTCACAGATGCAAAAGAAACAGACAGGCACCAATGCTCAGAAAGGGTAAGCAGGGTAAAAGAAACAGACACAAAGGCTCAGAAAGGGTAAGATATGATTCACAGATGCAAAAGAAACAGACAGGCACCAATGCTCAGAAAGGGTAAGATGAGTAACGAGAAAAGGGGTCGCATATGACATGCAGTGGGGTCATGGTAGTTCGAAGTCAGAAGTCAAATGCCTTTTAATAGACTTTTTTGCCGTATGAGTATACGTTGCCCAGGGTGCACCACGTGGAGGTAAGTCTGTCTCACACCCCTATTCAATAATTATAAATTTTGGTCTGTGATACGTACAGGGTGACTTTACACTTCGTAACTTCATATCTCTCTGAGTTCTCCTAATTGATAATTTTCATATCTTTTTAAAAAATTGTTATATATTGCATTGGTTAAAAATCGATTTGATTCAGCCATATTTCTTATTCATGCCGTCAGTGTGTGCATATTCATACTCTTGGTTCCATGTCATTGTTCATATATATTACCGTGAAGTTAGAGCATGCCTTGCTCAAGAAAGCTATCCAATTTGCCACTTCTTAACTCAAATTAGTAAGGGGGTGCTATAGACTTAGCTCCACGTGGTGCACCCTGGGCAACGTATTCTCATACGTTCACTTCTCACTTCAAACTACCATCACCTCACTGTATGTCAAATTTGACCACTTCAACAGTAATCACCTCACCTTTTTTCTACCTTTGTGTCTGTC